GGACATTGAAGAGGGCATCAGTGCTGCCAGTGGGAACGAACTAGTACTAAACAGGTGGTGGTGCATTCCCCTTTGCAGCACTTTACATTGTTTAGTAACGATTATAGAGTATGAAGGGACATTCAGGTACAGCATGAGCTATGGAGCTGTGCCTTGCCTTTGAGAAATGGAGACGAGTGGCACAATGCTGTGATCTGTATTTTTTTACCTAAGCAGATCTCAGTGAGCTTCACATTTGAATGGAAGTTTGCAATACCAATCAATATGTGTCAGTCTAGTTTACTGGTAGCCTTTCTAGTTCCTGAAGTTCACAAACACATTGCTCTGCGGAATTTCCAACACTTAGGGATTTTATTCTTTCCTGTTGTGTAGATCCAGAGATGGAGGGAGCTTTCAGCAGCTATGCATCGTTAGGCTACTATGACCATTCTTCTCTTTTTCCTGTTTAAAAAAAAAAAAACAGTGCCACCACAGATATTATCAACACTTGTTCTTTAGAAATACAAACAGCAGTTTCCTAGATTTGATGAAATAGGAGTATTTATATTGCTTTGCAGCAAGGGATTTTTCATCGGTCATTCTTTGTCTCCATGAGTTTAGGGTTTGTACTTAAAAGGTAGCTGGTTTAATTGCTGAGTTTGTCTTTGAAACCGAACTTCGTGTTATCAATAAAACTGACTATTGTTCTCTTGTTTTTAAGATCTTCTGTATAGTGTCTAACACTCTGCTGTTACTTCAGAGTACTTGAGAATGTTCTTACACGTGAGTGTGTGACTATAGTACAGACGGCTGTGGGCCACACACCATAATTGGAGAGCTGCTTGAAACATACCAAAACTTTTGGACCGTTTGGGGACCAGGAGCTTCAGGAATGGCTAAAGATGGTGCCTTTTCAGGTTGCTTCCCACTACTTTGTTGTAATAGCAGGGAATGTAATGTGCTCTGAGATTGTGAACCCTATCTTCTTAGCCTAACTTGTTTTCCCACTGCTGAGGATTCAAATTAGTGAATAGCAAAACATGCTTGTTTGTGTGACGTACCTCTGTCGCAGGAGCCATAATTTACTTATTTGGTAGCCACAGGCGGCCCAAAAGCCATAGACTTGTTCACTGCTGTAGTAGGAATTTATGCTGTGTCCAGGCCAGAGCATTAGTATAGGGAGTGATCAAGCCCTAAGTGAGGAAGAAAACCATTTTGAGTTTTTTCTGAGGAAGAAAACCATTTTGAGTTTTTTCTGTTTCCAGAATTGGTACCATATTGCAATTGTCCTTGTTCAATCTTCTTCTGAGTTCTTATTAGAAATACACAAATATTGATGGAGTGGGAAGCAGTTGAAATCCCTTAGCATGCTGAAGAAGAAGCAAAGAAGAAACAAAATAACTGTGCTTCTTTTTCAAAGCTAAAAATATCACAAGGTAGCCTAGGAATTAGACCCCTGCTTATGCTTTAAGTGAGATACTTCATTCTGACAAGGGCTTCCAAATTTCGTGACCTGTGAGTCTCTGTCAGCATCACACATTCTTTGCTATCCACAATGCACTGTTATCATCAGCATTTTTATGTAAAGGGTTTTGAGAGTAAAATTTCCAGCTGCTTGCCATAAACCATGTATAGTTTGTACACTGCTGCTTGGGAAGTGATGATGTAGCCAGGAGTGCCTGTCATAAAGACATCTTCACAGTATATTTATTGGCAATTTCAACATGAAAGTTAGGGTCTGAACACACACTGAAGCTCTGCCATGTTATTTTCAGTTATGAGGAAAATGCTGCAAATTAGTGGTAAGGCAAAATGGTAGGAAGCTTAAATCATCTTTGATAAAAATACACCTGTTTGTTAAGATATAGAGACTCCAGATTAATACATGTGAAATATAGTAATGTAACAGCTCTCAAATGTCAAGGATATTAGAAGGACATGGAGATGCATGTGTCTAACCACAGCAGAGGGGAAAGCCTGCAATATGCATTCTTCCTTCAGCAATGTACATTTTAGGCAGTGAGAGTGTACTCTGGTTTACCTACATGAAATAACACAGGGAGTTTAAAGCAGAGCATTTTTACTCCATTGAAAATGAAGATCCAGGTAGTCCCAGGTCCTTACTCTTATAGGAATTTGTAATTCTAATTATTTTATGTGGACAAAAGCAGTGCAATGAAGGGATGCAAAAAGACTCTTGCTAAGCAGATAGCAATGTTTTGAAAATAAATAGCAAACAAAACCAGATGAGTTATTTTGGTTATTGAAAATGTTTTTGCAACTGATAATTGTCACTCAAGAGAATACCAGTAGTGACTGTTGTTACCAACATTTTAAGACAAACACCAGAGCAGTGCTGCACAGCAAAACTTACTGTAACTTTTAAAAGATTTTTAGACATCCCCAGAGGTCAAGAGAATCAAAGGTACACTTTAGGTAGCTATATGTTGTTAAATGCCACAGAACTAGATGTGGACTCAGTAGGTTGTGCCCTGGTCATGGAAGGAATGCAGTGTTTCAGGATAGGTAAGGTGGTCAGTTCTCTTTTCTGTGACACTCTGTATCCATGTCTGGCTGTATTTTCAGGTGCTCTTTTTAGGACGGAATAAGATAATAGTAATGCATAACCAGTATTAAACTGGTTTTGCCACCCATGTCCTTTGATTTTCTTTAACATGTTAAGCTTTTTGATTAAACTTAAGGAGGAGAAGGCAAGAAACTTCTAGAAGGAAAAAAATAGAAATATTGTGTGAGACAATAATGGTAAGGATTATGGTATTCAAAAGAGGTGGAAAAGCTCTCCAGAAAGCAGATTGACTACTTTTAACTAGCAGAGGAAAGTTTTTGATCTTATATAGTGATCTTGACCTAAGGCTGCTACAGTGAGGCGTCTTATTTTCTCCCTATCAGATGGAAAGGTATATGATTTTGGCCATCCTATTTCATTTCTCTGTAGTCCGTTTATTTGTACTTTCTCAACAGTTCTGGAAGACTTTGAAAAATAATCCTTTTCACTGAAGCTTTCATATATCTTCTTTTTTAAATGTGTTCTGTCTATTACTAGGCAAACATTGGAATCTTTGGTTCTTTAAAATATACCACCTTGGTCCTGTCTTTGCTCCTGCTGCTGCTCGTTTCTGAGAGTTTCTGAGAGTCTTGCATTTATCCTGGTTTTATACAAAAAAATCTAGGTGAGGAATATAAGTACATAAAATTTTTATATGAAAGAATTAGAAATAAGTATTCTTGGAAAGATAGTGATATTTTTACATTCTGAGGATGAGTTCTGAATTTTGATTGTCCTTGTTATTATTTATTTATTTAAAAACCATGGGTAGTGTAATAATAGCTCTCAGATTTCCCAGGAACATAACTTTATGGCACTGATCCTGGAAGCTTTTCTTTGGGGATGGTTTTCTGATCTGTAGAGGACTCCACCAGAAGCAGTGGGACTCCATTTAATATATTTAGGACTCAACCCAAACAAAAGAAATTTCAGAGGCAGAAATATGATCTATAAACAAGCAAGGCATCTAGGCAGTTTCCTGATTGATTGATTATAATACATTCGCCCATTTGTACAATTGTAGCTCAAATACTACATTTCCAAAAACTTTTCAGAAGAGTAAGGGAAGCAGGTATCTTCATATCTACATAAACCTTTAGCCTGAATAGTGTGTTACTTGACCACAAATATTATGGAACAGTTCTATTAATTTAGCATAGGAGAAAAATTACTCTTAAACAAGAACAAAACGTAGACATGAATAACAACACTATCAATGTATGCGATCAGTCTTCTGTCAGACGATATCTTAAGTATTTCTGTAGCAAACAACTGAAATCTTCAGGCTGGCTTGTAATTAGGCCCCTTTCCAAAAGTAATCCATTAATACAATAGCTGCCCAAATCCTGGTTCAACTTAATTTCACTGACTTTGATTTTTGGACTAAAAGCATTAAGCTTGAACTAGTGAAAAATGTACAAAATGTGCATTCAATTAAGGAGTAATTAGATACTCAATCACCCTTACATCACACTAGGGATTATCCAAGAACAAAAAGAGATAGTACTCACTGCAGTGTATAAAACAGTTTTCTTAATTAGTTTAGTACTAATTGAGATTGAGAAAGTGTCACTGTGTCACAGCATTAGTTTGCCTACACAGAACCTTAAGAACACAGGGTTTGGCTTCTTTTGAGCTTCCTGACTCAGATTTTGCAGTCTAATTTCCCGATCCAGTATCTTCTGTCCATGCAAGATGAAACTTTCTGTTCATTTCAGGGAGGGAATGGGTCCCTGAACCCTTGTATCAGTAGCCCACTGAAAAACATGTTGAGTTTTTCCAGAGATGGAGAATAACTTATGATTATTACATGGTTTTTTATGGTACATCTTTATAAAAAAAAACATGAAGAACTGGGAACCTGAGCAGCTGGTTTCCTAAGGTTAAGCCAAAGCACATGAATATGTGTTTGCATGAAACCAAGTATTGATTTATCTCTGCTGCAAATGAATATGAATATCGCTGCTATTAGGAGGGACAAATTGAGTGATTGCTTTCTATCTCCTGAGCCCACCTGACTTAGATGAAAACTGCATACTCAGCACTTCACTTGGTAGGGTCCCTAAAATAGTAACTGTTAAAAATCTATCTGTGACTAATATATTTTCCTTTCTAGTTTACTGCCATGCCCTCCACATGGGAATCAATTACCTGATTGATTCAGAAAGCCAATTGTAAAGCTTTGTTTCAACTTAGTAATTTTACCACTGCATTTAACTTTTCATTTTTATTGCCATTTCCTCCATTGCTAGTAAATCTTCCAGCACTGGCTTTACCCTAAAACAGAAGAATCAGGACCATTATGTCACTGATGTATATACCCTGAAATTGCCCCCACCTGCTGTCATGAAATCCCAGCTTTTAGTTTTCCCTCTCTCCCTGGCTGGACATAAACAGTCTTTCAGACCCACTGTGGAGGAATTTCAGTAACATAATTGTTCCATTCTCTTTTCAGAGAGGGGGAAGACAATGCTCCCACAGTGCCCTCAGATGAGAAATGGAAACTTTTGAGGCTGCTGCTTCAGTTGAACCACAAAGCCTGTATTGTTTCTCTTCATCTAATTCAGCCATGATAGACAGCTGTGACAGTTGGTCTGTCCACATGGTCCAGTGAAATTCTGGGAATGGGGCTGTACATTAAAAGAAGAAAACACATTAAATCTTCCAATTCACACTGTTAGCTATTTTTAAATGGTAATTATCATTGCTTATATAGTTTCTTTACCACAGCATTCAGCAGCAGTCTGTGATCCAAATAGTACTAATTTTAAGCTTGGTATGAATGTTAATATGTAGACATACTCATTATTGTTTTAAATGTTAGATTTAATTTTTTTCCATGTCATCTCTTGTGCTGTTAGTAACCAGCTTGTCTGTAGAGGGGAGATGCATTCTATAAAGCTAATAAAAGCATTGTTTGTTCACAGATAGCATTATACAAATTCAGAATTAATTTCTGGGCAGAAAGGAGCATTTTTCTGCCAAACATATGCACTTAACATGGCTTATCTAAATAAATCTGAATGACATTTGCATTACTAGAAACCTTACTGAAATAATGGCTGATTTTGAAATAAGGACATTTAACCAATATAACAATAAACAGAATCATCTGGATTGTTTTCTACTTGGTGATTCATGGAACTTTGCAAAGAAATGTTCAATTCAGGCAGAAAATGATCAGCCTTTGTTCTCTTGTGAATTATGTCAGTTCCATTTGTTCTGTACATTACTGAGGATGGTGGTCAGGGGACCTGCTCTGCATGTCCTGAGCTCACTACACAGCATGGGGATTGTCATGCTGGGCCACACATGACACATTCTGACACAGCAGATGATAAGGGAACTGTAGTCAAAGCCAGCTAGTCAATCTCATAGCTTCTGATTCCTGCAAAACACCAAGAGCTGAATGATCTGAAGGAGAGTCAGTAATAATGTGGTGGGCAGTAGCTTTGATCAACGTAGCTCTCAGTGAGGTCCACTTTACTAGCATGAGGAGGGCAGGTTTATGTAGGGACCTGTGCGAGCAGAAGAACACCAGAGGCACAGATGGCAAGCTGCAGGCGGGGCCACAATGGAGATGCAAACCAAGGGTTCACAAAGGAGAGATTACTCCCTTGGAGCAGATTAGGGAGTCATCAATCACAAAGTCATCACCAGGCCATGGTAAATGCAGTGTCAGAAGGCATGCTTAATCCATCTCATCAACAGCTATGGAAAGAGCTGCTGCTGAGTAATGAGTTACGAATTCTCTGAGCTGTATTAGGGACGGCAGAAACAATAGGACAAACCCACCCACAACACATGAGCTGGGTGAGGGGGAGTGGATACTACTCACTATTCATGTGTTCATAACTGTACTGCAGAAACACGTACTTGCTTTGAAGAGGCACACAGCTGCCCTTGACAGCATGCATTGCAATAAATGCATAGAAAATGGACAGCATGCAGCCCACCATGAAGTCATCTGTGTTCACTGGGCTTAGCAGAATAGCAATTGACAGGTTGTTCCTTGGGCCTACAGAAACTTTATGTCTTAGGGTTATGTTTAAGAAAGTCTCTCTCTCCCTTCTGCCCAAATTTAATGAAGTGTAGCCTCATTATCCAGTGAAGAGGTTCAAGATTTCAGTGCTGGCCAAAAGCACATTTTCCATCTTCAATGTCCCCACCACTTCTATGATGTCCATGTAGCAGCTTTGCTGGCTTCTGTCCCTTTTCCTTCATCAATGACAGCCCAGGCAGCTGCAGCTAGAGCCCAACCCCAACATGCTGGTCACCAGAGCCTGGCCTCCCACCGGTCCACATCCTGCCACAGGGGATAAAGTTGGCTGCAGTGGCCTGCAATAGCCTGGCTGGAGCGTCTGTAGTTTTTGACAGGAGCCTGATTATTAGTCCTAGTTGTCAGGCTTGGTACTAAAACCTTGAGAAAAACCAACCCCCAAACAAAGCGCTGTGAGATGGGAGTCAATTGGTTTCTGCTAGTTGAAGACCTATTGCTATCTCTTTGCAACCAGTAAAGAAGGAGCCCTCCAAAAAGCAGAGTGAACCATGTTCCAAACCTGGCAATCCCTGGTTATATGCACATCTCATTGGAAAGATCTTTTCCTTTTGCACACAGTATATTATTAACTACTGAGTATTAACTGAGAGGAACATTAATATGGCAAATATTGACATTATGATGTTATCTAACTAGATTTATTCTCTAAATAAACATGTTCCTTATCTTGGAACTGGCTGACATTATTTGGGCTGCGATACAGATACGTTGCAAAGCGAGTGATGTAATGTCTCCACCAAAAAGTCGATGGTTTCCCTTTCCTGTGCTCCCTTCCTGTGTTTGCTGTTCTTTCCTGCATTGCCTTGTACAGTGAACTGCTGGTCATATAAATATTACTACTGAGGAACTGAGCTTAATAAATTTGTCTCAACACTTAGACTTTTTCTAGGCTGGGCTTTGAAAGAGGAAAAAAACCCCAGCGGTAAAAATACTTAGAACTGTATTTTGTCTTTAGAACTAGATCTAATTATAACAACAGATTCATTCATGAAGCACACCCATTCTAATTACAGATTGGTCAAACCACATTTGTGGTATGTTGTGAAAAGTTAAATTAGTCTTTCTGGGTTTGGTAGAAGTCTGCAGGGAGGAGTTTCCAGGAAGGGCTCTCTATATTACTTCAGTTACACTGCACCCATGAGAGGTTTTATTGAGTGTGGCAAGGCTCTGCTACTCCCCAATTAGAGTTCCACATGTGTGCCATTGTATTAGTATTCTTAAGAAATCATAAACACTGATAAAGGCATTCTGAGGGTAGTGTAATAATTTCCTTTTCAAGCCTACAGCCGCTAAAATTCTGAATCAGATTGCTATCTTCTGTGAAGGTATACGAAGAAATACTTCTTCGTATATATGAATATATATATATAGATATATGAAGAAATACTTCTATGGAAGTATTTTTAATGGTAAGTATTTGTGTCTGTAATGTTCCACATAATTGTATAGATTTATTAGAAATGTGAATTACAAATTTCCAAGAGGTGTTGAGTGGGTTATACACTTGTTGATCCAGAAATCAGTGGCAATAATACTTCAAAGCAGCTATGTGCTTCATGAGGTAAAAGCTGGACCTGCAGCATTCTGGTAAACTGTAGGAAGAAATCCAGCTCTTGGGAGAAGGCAGGTGACTCAGGGCAGGATGCCTGCTGTTGAACTTCCTCCTGCAGGTGATGTATTCTTTGTGTTCCTCTGTAGTTTTCTGGAGGTCCCCAGAAACCTTAAGATGCTTTAAGCTCTTAAGTTGACTTCAGACTATGGTGTGGTGTGCTTTGCACTCAGGGTTGTGATGATGGGCAGATCTTGTTCAGATCAGAGGAGCCTCTTAGAAAGCACCATGGCTCCCTATGGCTGCCTTCTGCCCTGGCTCTCACATTTGTGTGAAAATCAAGGCATAGCTGGAGCAATAATGAATACTAGGCCTGTACCCCAAATACACCTAGGAAGTGACCAGGCATAAATCAGTGTGTGTTAAAGGCTAGGCTTGATCCCAGACATTACAGTGGCAAGCATGTTATGGTAGCTGTGTATAGAAACAGGTGTGAACTAGGACACTGAGTCTGAGAGGAAGTAAGAGTGGTCCCTGGCTACTGTCTGTCTCTTAAGGTTGGTTCATTGGTGTTCTTGAATCCTAGAGGGTAATCGAAGCCTACTGTTGCTGAAGAATTAAAAGTGCTTAACAACAGCGCAACATAAGGGAAAAAAATATTTTTACTAAGAAATTTCAGTTGAATTTTGCTGAGACTGCAGAAGCAATGAGGAGGGGGAGATCCCTCCATGCACAGGCAGCTTCACAAGGAGTCATACACATCATTCTCCAGAACCTGCCAGGGGGCAACTGCCATGAGCTCAGACTTACATTCATTGAGTGGTGGGCACAGCATCGGTGTAGTAATAGCTTTATGTAAATTAATCCTCTCATGGTTGTCACATCAACTCCAATGAGAATGAGGAGAAGCTTCCTTCCTTGTAGAAGTGGGGGATCCTCATGATGAATGGTGGCTGCAGAGGAAAAGAGGAAAACCCTCTCTTAGGGTTGAGGATCATGGAAACAGGACAAATTTTGTCCTGTCTTTTCCTCCTTGGCAGAGTTTCATGGTGGCATCATCAGCCATGGAGTTAGCTTTGAGGTGGGTTTTTCCTTTAAACATCAGTGCTGTGCAGCTGGAGAATACATCTGAGGCTGGATCATGGAGGATGTGTTTTTAAGTGTTTATGTGCACATTTGATTATGAAACCCTGTCATTGTAAGCATACATCTCTGTGTGCATTCCTGTCTTTAGAATACTATATATAGAAAAGCTATTTTTAAACCAAGGACAATTTAAAATGAATTTTAGAACTTCTAATTATAGTTAATAAATTTCAGTATGAAGACTGACTAACATCATCCACCAGTACTGTACATATACTGTTGGTATTTGTATGATGGGATATTTTTCCATTTGCTTAGTCAACATGTGTTAAAAGTCCTTTTCCGTTCTCTCCCTCCCATTATCCATTATTCAGTTCCAGGTCCTTTATACTGAATAAAGGACCTGGATACTGTTTGAGACTTGTGCTCAAGACATAATAATTTTTCTCGTGGGACTTTCTCTGTTACAGTATTCTTTTGAATGCTTCAAATGTATTAATAAACTTATCTTTACACTCACTTTGCAAATGCCTTCTCCCCTGTATCATGTGAGGATTCCTCTGTCATCACAGACTGGCTATCTATTTGATGCCGGCTATAAGAAAAAGACTCAGCGGTCAGCCAGTTAGAGATTCTTCATGTTGACCTGCAACACATGTGGTCTTTGCCCAGAACTTGTTATGACCTTATTTGGAAAATTAGAAACCCAGCACTGACTCAGTGTGGAATCATAGAATAGTTTGGGTTGGAAGGGACCTTCAAAGGTTATCTACTCAAATCCCCTTGCAGTAAGGAGGGACATCTTCAATTAGATCAGGTTGCCCAGAACCACATCCAGCCTTCATTGAAGGTAGTTGTCAGGTTACCTCATCAGTCTTTTCCCTGATGAATTTGCAATAGATGACTTTTATTGCAAAGGTTAGTTTTTCAGAGCTTTTGAGCATTAGTTAGTTTTTCAGAGCATTTTGAGGCCTTTCTGTCCAGTATCTTCAAGTCCTTCTCACCAGTGTTCTTACCATGCTATGCACAGAGGCTGTGGCAGCTCTTTATTTCTGCTTGGCCTTCTCCAGAGCCTAACCCCATCTTGATCCAGAAGCTGTTAGCCCAGAATATCAGGCAAACAATGAAGATGGAGTATAGTAAGGGGAAATAGTAAATAAACTTGAAAATAACTTGCTCTGTAAAGTACACAGTGAGCTATTTAAGCCTTGAATAACAAAGAAAAAAGAAAGCATAAAGAGAGCATGAAGCAAAAACAACATAAAGAAGCTTCCTTAAGTGTTCTTTTCTCTAGCAGGGATGTGGTTAGAATATTCCTTCTGTATTTCCATCTCAACTCGCTTGTATTGGAAATGGTCCATTCTGGGTTGTGAAAAATCCAGCTGACTGACTCAAGCCAGTTCCTAAATCAGCAATTAGAAA